CTCTGGGGGACAAGGGACTCTGGCATAGCCCCACCAGGGAAAAAGGGCACCAGGCAGTGCTGGGGCAGGGTGGCTGAAGGCAAGGGTGTGGGGGCCAGGGCACTCTGGGGTCCACTGGCCCTTGCTAAGCTTGGACTCAAGCCTCTACCTGCCAGCCCCTCAAGGCCACGAGAATCAGCGCTGCAAGTATTGAGAGCCGTGTGCAGGAGCTCAGCGAGGCCACGGATGCCAGCGAGAAGGCCAAGCAGGGCTTCTGGGAGGAGTTCGAGGTGTCGGCCTGCTGCCCACTGCCCCCCCTCAGACTCCCATCCTCTGGGCTGCGGCAAGGGCCAGCAGAGGGGTGTGGGTCAGGGCATGTATGGCGGGTGTTGAGGGCTCTGGGGAATAGTCGGGGCCACAGGCTAAAGCCCCACTCTTCCAGATGCTGCAGCAGCAGGAATGCCGGCTCCTGTACCCCCGGAAGGAAGGCCAGCGGCCAGAGAACAAGCCCAAGAATCGATACAAGAACATCCTTCCCTGTGAGGCTGGGGCTGGGGTCACATGGGGACCAGGTCCTCACCCACCAAGTGCAGGGCCCATCTGGCACAGGGGTCCTGGGGGGTGGAGGCAGGGGTCATTCCCCACCACTGGTGCGATGCCCTCTCTTGCCCCTTCGTCCTCTGCCTCTGCTCACCACAGGTCAGCGGGGATCCCTCTTCCCTGGAGACCTGAGCCACGTCTTCCCTTCTCAGTTGATACCACTCGTGTCATCATTCGTGATGTGGATGACAGAGTGCCTGGAGCCGACTACATCAATGCCAACTACATCAGGGTGGGTACTTGGCCCATAATAATGAGCCTGGAGCTCCTGGAGTGGTCTGTGGACTTTGGAAAGACAACAGATACTCGGGGAGGGTGCAGCAGTCTGCACTGGGTCCTCAGAGGGGCCAATCCAGAAACTGCTGGATTAAATATTGGTCCTAAGCCCCTCCCACCCTCCATGGACTGTGTGTGAGCCACTTGGGCTACTTTGCATATCATTTGCATCAACTTGAATTGGTCCTCTGGCACTTGAATTCCTGGAAACAGCAGGCAGCTGACCCCACCTTCTTTCAGAGTGACCCAGAGGAGAAGCCAGGCCATGGACTGGGCAAGGTGTACATCGCCACCCAGGGCTGTCTGCCGACTACAGTGGCTGCTTTCTGGGCCATGGTACACCAGGAGAACACGCGTGTCATTGTCATGACCACCAGGGAGGTGGAGCGAGGCCGGGTAGGAGCTCCAGCTCATGTTCCTCCCCTCCTCCTGCTGTGTGCCCCACTGGACCTGTGTTGGTGCTGGCCCAGCTTTGCTTCTTCAGTCTTAGAGATGCTGGGGCACAGTGAGGGCCCTGGAGAGACCCCGTGTGTGCCCCGCAGGGAGGTGGGGCATGGGTGCTGGTGGTCTTCCAGCATGGCTAATGCCATGCCCCCACCCCCCAGAACAAGTGTTTCCGATACTGGCCAGAGCTGCACGGCAGCCAAGAGTACGGCCACCTGCATGTGTGCAACATGGCTGAGCACTGGGCCCAGGGCTATTGTGTGCGGGAGCTGCAGGTGTGGAGGCCAGACCAGGTGAGCCTGAAGAGCCTCAGGAGCTGTGGGACCAGGGTGACATGCTCGTGAAGTCCCCAGGTCTGCACTGGGCTGGCCCAGCCTCCACCCAACCCCAGTGGCTTTGGTAGCTTCCACGTCGCTCAACCCAGTGAGCAAAGTCCTGGCCTGGGCTCTGCTGGGCAGTGATCCCAGTCGGGCAAGTTTTCAACCCAGCTGTCTGGCTCCAGGGTGGCCTCACACCCGTATAGGCCTCTCCTTCCAGTTCCTCCCTGGCCGTCTCAGGACTTTCGGCCTTCTTTGTATGCCATTGGTGCCTGTGCCTCTCCAGGCACATTTCCCTCCTGGCCAGTTCCCTTTGATAACCACCGGGGCGCCTGCAAGCCTCTGCGTTTGGCTCTTCTTAAATAGAATTCACTTCCTGGAAGCTGCTCCTCCCCAGGACCATCCTTCTTCCTTTCCCCTGCCTGGGGGCCATCTGCGGGTCCTCCAAGCCCTGAATCCCATCTTTTCCTCCCACTCGCTCCTGCTCTGTCTGGGCTCTGCTGGTCACTCCTTCTGGCAAACCCCGCTGGGCCACGCCCTGTCTCTCCTCGGTTCAGTCCCTGTGCCCCTCCCAGCCAAGGGTCACAGCAGCCCGAGGCGCTTGGGACAGCCCAGACCTCCCAGCTGGCACTCACCAGCCCACCCTGCCCAGGAGGAGTCGCCGCACACAGTGAAGCACTACCAGTACTTCAGTTGGCCGGACCACGGCGTCCCGGCCGAGCCCACCGGCGTCCTTAGCTTCCTGGACGAGGTGAACCGGGCCCAGAACAGCATGCCGGGGGCCGGACCCATGGTAGTCCATTGCAGGTGCGACCGGGGATGGGGCGGGGCCAGCGGTACAGTTGCGACCGGGGAAGCGGCCACGGCTCTGTCCTGTCAACTGGCCACAGGCCTCCTTGGTCCGTCCCAACAGCGCTGGCATCGGACGCACTGGCACCATCATAGTGATTGACATCCTGGTGGACTTCATTCGCAGGCAGGGTGAGCCGCCCCAGGAAGGCCCCGCCCCCTGCGCTTGCCGGCCCCGCCCATTGCATCTAGCCGTCCCACCTTCTCCCTGCCGGCCCCGCTCCGTCCTGAGCACGCTCCTCTCCAGGGTTAGACTGCGACATCGACGTCCCCAAGACGATTCAACTGGTGCGGCGGCAGCGCTCGGGGATGGTGCAGACCGAGGCGCAGTACAAGTTCGTGTACCTGGCGCTGCAGCGGTACATCCAGGGCGAACAGCTGCGCCTCCGCGAGCCTGTGGGGGCGGGGCCGGGCCGGGGCGAAGCCTGCGCTGGTATCACCATGGTGACCAGGGGCCCCTCCCTTCAGTGCGAGCGGCCCGAGGAGCGCGGCTCGCTGAACCTGGGCGTCTCGCCCGCCGAACCCTGCTGTAGCCCCGGACCCGCGCCGTCCCGGGCGCCAGCGGCGTGAGTGGAGCATCAGGGACTGTGGAGGGAAGAGTCCCAGCTGGGTGCGGCGGCGGCGGGGGCGGGGACAGGAAGGCCTCGGGGGCGTGGCCCGGGCTTGGGGGCGTGACCGGGGCGAGGGGGGAGGGATCGCAGGTGGGCCCCAGTCGAACTTTGTCTCCGCCCGCAGGATGCCGGAGGCCTCCCGCCACGAGTATGAGAACCTGCCAGGCCTAGAGCCGTGAGAGCCCCTCGTGCGCGTGCCCCGAGTGGGGCTGGAGCCGTGCAAGAAGGCTGGATCCCGGCAAGACCGGCCTCCGCGTTCCTCCGATGGACTGTTTAGGATTGTGCAGACAGGCGCCCAGCCCTGAGCGCCATGGAGTTGGGGTGGGGATGGGGGGTGGGGTCCCGGGTCTGCCCCCTCAGACCCTCCCTGACCAGCTCTGCACGCCCAGAAATGGTGAGGGGCGGGCAGATCCAGTGGCCTTGGCCCTCCTGGAGGAGGGGAGGCAGAGCTGCAGGGCTGCCGTTCGACTCAGTTTGGGAGGCCACCAGTGACCACCTGCACGTTGCGGTGAAGACATATGTGTGCTACATGTCTCAGGGTCAATCTGTATGTGGGACATGAGACCAGCAAGTGAGTGCCAGTTTGTTCACCAGCATTTGTGACCTCCTCCCTGCTTTCTGAGTGCCCCGCCCCTTCAGAGTTGCTTCCCAGCCCTGCCCACAGCCGTGGTCTAGGCTGTGGCCTGGCAGTGGCTCAGTCCTGCCACATCCAGACCTAACCCAGACTGTCACATTGCAGTCATTCATCGATAAATGCTTGTTAAATGAGGGAATATGTGACGTGCTCATCTGACCACAGCGAGGAGGGCGAGGCTCCATGAGAACATGACTCGTTAGTGATGGTGCGATGTCACTGGCTTGTGGTCCACACTGGCACCCTCCCATTATGGATGGCCCTGTGGCTTTCTGGTCTCCTCAGTAAAAATGCCTTATCAGTTCTGCAGCTTTGCTGGGGCTTGGAGAAAGGGTACCTATGTGTCCCCATGACTGGGCCCCATTCCCCAGGGTCTTTCTGAGCCAAAGGCACAGCTGGTTGTAGCAGGAAGTCATGGGCTTTGGGGTGAGGAATGAGGAGGCTGAGACCTATGCAAGCCAGAACCGGCTTGGCCTCTCTTCGTCATGCCAGCCTGGCAGTGCAGGATTCCTGGACCGATAGCAGTACCGAGTGGGGGAGAGGTGGGGTGGCAGGACTCCTGCCCATCCCCCAGGATGTTCACTTCACCAGCCTGGTCTGGCCCTCCTCTGATGGAGGAACCCGAGGCCTGTAGATCATCAGGACACGCTGGTTGTCGCCACCTCCGCTTCTGTGCACCCTTGAGCCTTGGTCCCCAGGGGTCGTGAGGTCCTGTAGCCCTCCACTCAGGGCTCTGGGCAGGACTGTGGGACCATAACTTCTGGGGGTTGCAGCCTGTTGTGACCACAGTGGGGGTGGGAAGGAGGACTCTGGACCAGGCCAAGGCCCCATCCCGGTACCCCGTGCCCCAGGTGCTACCCGCCCTTCCTATCTCCCTCAGGCAGCCTCACAGCCCCGGGAGGCAGCCAAGCCCAGAACTGCTCCAGCCCATCCACAGCCTAGGCAGGACCGGAGTTGGACCCCCAGGAACTTGGGCCACACATGCCAGGGGCTGCTGGGAGTCCAGTCCAGGAGGTGTCCTTTTGTTGTTGTTGTTGTTTTTTTAAATGGTTTATTTATTTATTTTTTCCACCTAGTATAATTTTATTTTTTTATATTTTTAAATTTTCTTTAACTTTTATTTTTTCCATGTATTTTTATTAGTTGGAGGAGGTGTCCTTTGGATTCAGAGTCTTTGTGGAAGGGGCAGACTGGACTTTTCTGGAAAGAGGGGCTTAATGGTACAGGAAAGAACACAGAGGGTGAGGACCCCTTATCAATTGTGGGTACAAAATAATTTATTTAAAAATGTACAATTCAGGAGGGCAGGATGGGCACTGGGGAGCTGGGCTCCCTGCCACTGCCCTCTGTCCCCGTGGCCACCCAAGGGAAGGAGCCAGCCCTGCCTGGGGAAGCGAGCAACCATGGTGAAATGTGGAAATAAGATGAAGGTGGCAAGCCCCGTCCCTTTTCAGCAAGGGGTAGGTCCTGAAGATTCACAGTGTGGACAGGGAGGGGCCTTGCCAAGCTGTCTCTTCTGGGCCTCAGTTTTCCCATCTGCAAGATGGGGGTTAGGGAGGTGGTCTCTGGAGCCCGTAGGAATCTGATTCTTGGAAGCTCCGGCGACATTTTATCCACCCCATAGGACCCAGCCCCAGAGAGCGGGGGGTTGTGTGTGCTGAATGGGGTGGGGTTCCTCAGAGATGTGGGGGCTCCTCTGGGATCCTGGAGGGATGGGCTGGGTGGGAGTGGTGACACTAACTGTCCGCCAGGGACCCAAGTGAGAAGGTGGTGGCAGCAGTGGCGGCGGTGGAGGGAGGCCGGGGGAGGCAGTGCAGACTTCCAGTCCTGAGTGCGCACTGCACAGGCCAGAGGACCACACAGAAGAGCACGAGCAGCAGGGCTGTGATGAGCGCCACGCGCCTCCAGTCCCTGCAGCGTGCCCAGCAGCGGGCCAAGAGCCCCCGATGGTGAGCAGGGCCTGGGATGGGAGCAGGTGCAGCAGGCTCAGCGGGCTTGCTTGGGCCTATGTCCACGCACATGAAGCCAGGCTCCACCGGGCCAGGCACAGAGGGTGGTGGGTAATAGCACAGCTTGGTGCCCTCTAGCCACACGGGCTCCTCCTGCCGCAGGTGCGCTGGCATCCGGGCCTGCAGCTGGCGGCTGGTGCGCAGCGCAGGGGCTCCAGCAGCGGGTACAGCTGTGGGTTGCCGGCAGAATGGGCAGGGCACAGCCTCGCTACCTGGCTGGCCTGTGGGCTGGGCGGCTGCCAGCCGTGCCAGGCACTCCAGGCAGAAGACATGGGTGCAGGAGAGCTCCTTGGGTGTCTTGAAGATGTTGTCATAGCCTGAGAAGCAGATGGAGCACTCCAGAGGGGAGGCCACTTTCTCTGAGCCTGGGGTGCCCGGAGACCTGGGGCTGCTGGCTGAGCTGGGGGACCTGGGCACTGTGGCTATGGGGCTGCTCCTGCTGGTAGGCGGCATGGTCATGTGCCACACCTGTGGGCTTGACGACATGGTTCTGGGCTGTGGAACAATGGAGACCACTATGAGTGATTTTGACTGCTCCTCTCCTGCAAGGTCAGTCAGTCACTCTCTCCCCATCCCTCTTCATTGCACCATCTCAGAGATGCCTGTGGGCACCTCTGCAAAGTCCCCCCACCCCTGTCCCCACTTCAAGGTCTTTCTGCTCAAGTTGTACCCCAGCGCTCCCCAGCTCCTCACATGCTTTATCAGGGGTCAGCACCCTGGGGTGCCCCAGCCTGGCTGGGCCCTGTGGACCACTGCTCAGTGGCAGTGGTCCTTCCCACCAGCCCTGGCCTACCTGACCGTGCCATTGGGCAGAAATATCAGGGCTCTGCCAGGCTGGACCCCGGTCATTGTGATACCAAGAGCCACGGTGCAGAAGAGGCAGCTCAGAGGAGCCCCGGGCTGTCACAGGAAGAGTGTGGCTCTGGGCCAGGTGAAGTTGGTTTGAACACAGATTCCAGTGTGGGTGGCCTATTTGGAAGGCAGCTATGCTCACCACTATACCACCAACGCTAGTGGCCTATTTGGTAGGCACACAATAACTGATAGGCAGTTGTGTGAGGGTGGGCGCCAGGCCTGGCTGGACGGGCTGTGGGAGACCAGGGGGCCTAGGCAAGGGTGGTGGCCATGGCCTGAGGAGGGGCTTTGTCTCCCCGCCATAGCCTCAACCTGCAGGGCCAGCTCGTCTGGCTGGTGACAAGAGCCTGGTGCTGGCCCTCAGGGTCTGGAAATGCTCCTCACCCTTTGGCCAGTGGAGCAGGGAGGGTGGATGAGCCAGGCATTCTCTTTGGGCTGGCCCGCCACCCAGGAGGGTCACACCAGCCACAGCCGCTGTCCAGGAGGCAGTGGGATGTTCCACTCCTCACCTACTGCCCTCTCCATGGGAGGCCCAGCCTGTCTCCCTGATGAGGCTCAGGTGACCTGCCTGCTGCCCCTTCTTGGGCCTAGGTCTCTATCCCAGGCAGCCACATGGGTCCTTCTTGGAGGACGGCAGGTAAGGGGGTGACTTGCCCATCACCTTCATGATGGACAGAGGAGGCCAGGGCCTTGGGAAGACCTGACCATGTGACCCCATGGAGCCCATGAGGCCCCCCAGAGGTGACCCAAGCCTGACTGGATGGTCAGTACAGGAGGGCTGGTGGAATGACTTTGCAGTGACGTGCCATAAAGGCTCAGGTATTGCTACCACCTGACACTGACCACTGTGAGTCATGGTGGTATCACTGTGATGTCACGAGTGCTCTGGCATCGTGGTGTGAGATGTCAATGTATTTTGGTGACAGCAGCTGCCGCAGGCCAGGTGCAGCCTCAGCAGGGTCTGGGGTACTGCAGCCATCCTCCCCCAGCCGCTCCCCACACGACCGGTTTCCTTAGCACTGGGCCCCACCCTTCGGAGGAGGTGCCCCACCCTGAACCTGTACTGGTGAGAGGGGAGTGCCAGCTGAGCCGGCCTTACCTGGTAGCCAGGGTCAGAGGGGCCCGGGCATGACCCTCTTGGCTGATTCAGCCAGGCTGAGGCCCCGAGCTCACTCGTCCTGGAAGCGCTGGCTTCGTCTCCTCTGGTCCAGACTGGCCTGTGTTCCCCCTGACTAGTGTTCCTCTCTAGAGCTGTCCGTCCGCAGCTGTGCCAGGCAGGTGGGGCGTGGGGCGTGTGCGCTCCTCTAGGTGTGGAGCGCTGTCCGAGGCAGGTGTGAAGCCCTGTCCGAGGCAGGTGTGAGTTCTCTGGGTATGGGCTCCTGGCAGGTGTATTTATATGCTCGCTTGGGATCACGCTGGCCAGGGCGCGGCCCAGGGCCTCCAGGATTGGCTGGCCTCCCATCCTCTCCCTGGCAGGCTGGGTGGTAGAGGGCGGGGAGTCAGAAGTGAGAGGTTAGAACCTGGGGTGGGGCTGGGGGTCAGTAGGCCTCTGCAGCCTGGGCAGGTCTCGGCAGGTGACTGGATGCCTGGTAAAGCCTCTTCCTACTCTGCAGCTCCTGAGACACTGGAGCAGCCACTCCAGAAACAGACCTACCTGCTCACTGGCCTTGTTCAAGGTGGGGGCACCTGAGCTCCTTGGGTGGGCCCCCAGAGGGTCCTTGCAAGGATGCCCCCTACTCAGTCAGTTCACTGACACCCTCCCCCAGCAGCCCCTGTTCCTGCCCCTCCCCCCAATACCCACCTCATCTGTGTGGCTGCCACTCAAAAGCACAGCTCCCCCTAAATGGCCTTCTGCTGTCCCCACCCATCCCTCCCCACTTGCAGCCTTTGGGGGCTGGGAGGGAACTCCTTGCTCTGGGTCTGGGGAGTGGGGTGAGAGGTCAGGCTGGGAGTGCCCGCGGGGTGAGTCAGGGGTGAAGGCGTGTCTGGCAGCAAGCTGGCCACAGGACTTGTTTCAGGGGAGCATCTGCTGGGGGGACCTTAGTTTCATAGGTAGGGAAGGGACTCAAGGAAGTGCCCACCCAGGCAGGGGATCCGGAAGTCTCCCTGGGGGACAGGGAGCAGTTTGAGCCAGTCAATACCGAGTCCCAACACACCACAGGGCCAGCCTGCGTACAGGCCTGTCTGGGGCCAGGATGGAGGGTGTGAGGGCTGTGCTGGAGGGGCCTGGAGCCTAGCCAGCGGCATGAGCTGTGACCACTCACAGCCACCCTGTTCCTGAGGTGTCATAGCCACTCCATCTGATACCTGATCCTCCTGGCCTCAGGGTCACAGCAGGCTCTCCCCTCCACCCCATGGCTTCCCTGCCCACCCCTCACCCCAGCTTCACATACCACACCTCAGTGTGCATCTGATCTGACCTTGGGGCCCAGGACTTGAGATGGAACCCCAATCATGAGCCTGTGGGGATGGAGTGTTGGGCTCAGTGAGGCTGGGAGAGAGGTCCACCCTGGTGGGGGACGGCCCTGACCGTTCAGCGGATGGTTCAGGACCCCCAGAGGCTACCCAGCCCCAAGAGCACTAGGAGAAGCACTGACAGCCAACAGAGGTCAGAGGTCATCAAGAGGCATTAGGAGATGGGTGCATGGAGCAGGCTGCCTGGGCTGAGACCCCAGGAGGAACCAGAGTGAGATGAAAGGGGCAGCCAGGACTGCAGCCACAGGAGGTTGAGGTGTGGGGCGACTGCAGGAGAGGAAGCGAGGACCGGGGCTTCCTGTGTGCTCTGGGAGCAGGAAGAGCTTCAATGAGGGGCTTGGCAAGGGCTCAGGGCCAGCGGGGTTGGCGAGGGCCCGGAGAATGGGGAGTCTCTGTGAGGGCGGGGCCCACCCGAGCAGGATGGGGCGCTGGTTCTCACGGGTATCATGACTCAGGGTCTCATGCTCCTCCAGGAAGTGTCCTGGTCCTCTGAGTACACCTCCCCAAGGGCTCCTGGGAATATCCGAGCTCTGAGATCACTCCGAGCTCCTCAGTGGACAGTCAGTGCCCGAGGCAAGGGGACAGGAATGCCCGAGGGATGTGCCATCAGGGTGGGGCTGGGTCTCACCACATGGGACCATGGTGCTCAGGGCTCCCCTGGCCTCACACACCTGCTCACTCTTATCCTGACGAGGGAAGAGTACCTGCATCTTGTGAGCATGTGGGTTTCGTGTGAGGTGAGCTGCTCACCAGCTTACTCCGGCTGGCTGTGCGAGTGCACCTGTGTGCGTGTGCACGTGCATGCACGTGTGAGGGGAGCCTGGCTGCCGGCAGGTGACCATGAAACTGGGACTTACTTGCCAGACTGGGCAGAAAGCAAGGCCTGCAATGACCACCCCTGTCCAATCATGGCTCTCAGATGGTAGGGGTCCCCAAGACCTCTGGACACCTGGGAGTCCTAGGCTGGAGGCAGAAGCTACTTTTGGCCAAATGAGCAAGGGGGAGGCCTGCCCCACAAGGCCCACCCTGGCCATGGCTCCCCATCCCCAGTTTTTGTGTGGTCTGGCTTCAAGACTCTGAGGGCTGCAGGGGGCACACAGAACAGCCAGTTTGGGGAAGGGTCTCAACAAGGGTATAAACTCTGGTGTCCCCCACAGGCCAGAGCCTGGGAGGCAGAGGCTGGGCTGCAGCAGGGGCTCAAGGGGGTGCACTTGGGCTTGGCCTCCACCCCACCCTCTGCACTCTGGCTCCTGACAAGCTCAGAGTTGCCCTCTGGCCACAGGGTGACTCCTCCGGTCCTGTCCCTCCCACACCCAGCAGTGAGCCAAGTTCCCAGTCGGCCTGGCCTTGGGGGCCGGCTCCTTCTGGGGCCCGGTGCCCAGGCCCCACCAGGGCCTCTGTTCTCATGACCCATCCTCAGGCCCTGCTCTGTGCTCCCACCTCCCAACTCTACAGCTGGTACTGCCTCTTGCTGACCTCTGACGGCTCTGGGTGCTTCTTTGGCACTGAGTGAACAGATGAGACGAATGAATGGACGAGCTGCAGCTGTGACCCCAGGGCCATGCCCGCTGCCCAGCCCCACACCAAGCTCACCTCCTAGGACGTGGGGCTCCTTGTGGTGGTTGACGTGGTGGAGCACTAGGAGGGGACAGGTGCCCTACCTGCCTGCTTTGACCAGAAAAGACCCTACAAATTGGCCTTGCCTTTTTACATGAAGACATGGAGTCCAGGTGAGGAATAGGTGACAAACTGAGGAGGGGACTGTGCAGGGTCCCCGGCACAGACACCCTGTCCCTGCCAGCTGCCCCACCCCACCTGCTTTCTGACCTGGATACCCATCAGAGTCATGTGCCCAAGAGTCCAGGGATGCCCCCCCAACTATTTGGGGGGCCTGAGACAGTCACACCCAGGCCCAGGGTGTCCAGCGGCAGAAGGGAAGCCAGCATGGCTGGGGGCCCAAGAGGCCAGGCTATAAGAGGCCTGGAAGGTCAGGGGCAGCATCTCAAGTGTGGGGCCGGAGGGCTGCAGGGTCAAATTCAGAGTTGAGTGTTGCTGCCAGGGGTGGAGCAAAGCTGAGGCTGGGGGCTGCAGGGCCGGGAAAATTAGAGAAGAGGCAGCTCGGAGGTTCCCAGGGGAAGCCAAGGGTCATCTTGCATCCACAGGAACTCCATGGGAACCCCACAGCCCTTCAAGGCTGTCAGCTGCAGAGGCAGGTGGTTCTGGGCCACTGTCCCCAGAAGAGAGGGCGGAGCCTCCCCCAAGCCCTAGTATGCTGACGCACTCCCACGTGCCCAGGCCCAGGGCCACAGACACCCCCGCGGGGGTGCCAAATGGCTGCAAACCTCAGACCAGGCGGTCCAGGCTCTCTGCCCTGCCCCCACTCTGTTCTGATTGGCTGGGATGCCTGGGATGAAGCCACCAGTCGGCAAACATCCCCGTGCTTGCCAGCCCCTCCAAGGGTCACCCACCCATCCTCGCCTCCCAAAGGTGACAGGTGACGCCGGCCTGCACTCTGTACCCATGTGTAACTTCCTCCTGGGGCTGTGAGCCAGGCACCACGGGTACCCCATGGTTGTCGTGTCTGCACAGGCACAGTCTCTTTACAGAAAAACCTCCCTAAGAGGCACCCACACGCTTTCCTATCTCAGTCCTGACAACTGGGGGCCACTGGGATGTCCTACTTACAGGAGGCCACTTGGGACAAGCCCCTTTCTCCCATGGCTAACATCCTCAGGGCTGGAGGTTGCCTGCAGGGTGGGGGTCTGGGTCCTTGTCGGGGGCTGCCCATCTCCCGTGAAAGGCTTCCTCCTTGCTGAGGAACAGGGAACCTTGGGGCAGTAAGAAAGGCCTGAGTGGTTTATTGATGCTAATTTCAGGTGGCTGCCCCTCATGGCCACCAGCCAGTCATCCATTCACATCCTGGTGACTGAGCTCATGTCCAGAAACTGCAAAGGCTCCAGTGGGAATCATGGTACAGAAGGTGGGAGGCTGGCCACACAGGCCCTGCCTCGGGCGGCACAGACTCGGACCAGATCCCGAAGGAGGAGACAGCAGTCCCAACAGAGATTCTGGGGAGGCCAGGCCACACTCCACCCTCACGCAGTGGGTGCCCCAACACTCTCGTCTCCATGGGAACCTTGGCTGGTGCCTCAGGGTGGGGGCAGCCAGACAGGACTGCCGGCCAGCGAGGTCCTTGGGAGGCTGGTGTGATGAGCCAGTCCAGGCTTCCAGGCAGCAGTCACAGGTAAATGTGGCCCTGGGTGGACACGTCCCTGGGGGGCCTTGACCTCCAGCAGTTTCAGGCCAGTGTCCATCCCCAGCTGGATGAGGAGCTGTAGTGCCTGGGGCCCAGGCAGGGCTCAGATGAGGGCAGCATGCCTCTTGGACTTTTGTACAAAATGCGTTTCTGCTTAAACACACACAGGAGTCAGCAGAAAGCCAAGCAACTCGGTCCTGCAGCTCCTGGGACTGGGCAGCAACACAGCACAGCCTGTGGTGCCTGAGTCTGCGGTGGGCGGGCGGTCCCCAGGCCCATCCCACCTCCATGTGGACGCAGCTGGAACCTCAAAGGCCTGGGCCTCACTGCTCTTAGGATGCAGGGAATCTGCTCACCATGGGCTCCAGGGCAGAGGAGCACCCAGGGTCCTGCAGGCTGTCTCTCCCATGGGGCACAGACCCCATGTGCCTGGCTCCCCACCTGGGCTCAGGGACAGAGGCTGCAGTGATGCCCCGGGTTGGTCATACTGAGTGCCATGTGTGGTGAGGAAGGCCTGCAGGTGGGTGGCTCCCCCTCTGCATATGTGGCTGGAATCAGACGAGCCAAGCCAGGGCCGTGTCTGGGCCCATCCCGAGGTCTCGCTGGGCAGCACCCAGCCTTTGTGCATGGGGGCCCCTCCTCTGCGGTGTGTGGAGCTGTGGGTGGACCTTGGGGTCAGACGTTGCTCACCCGGGCCTCCACAGAGGAGACAGTGGTGGGGCCCACATCCCTGTCCAAGGGCCGCTCACGCCGGACATAGCGCGGCTTCCGCACTGAAATAGAGTCAGAGACAGACAGGGTCAGATCAGGGCCTGACATGGCAGGAGGGCAGCAGGCTTCCCTGGGGCTCACGGGAGTAGGGGTGGGCAGCCCCAGGGGAATGGGGGAGGAGGCCCACTGAGCTCCAACTCCTGGAAACCTGGAGCCCCTTGGCCAGGGCAAGGGCCTGGTTCTCCTGAAACACAAAGACACAAGTCACGATTTGCTATAGGGTGGGCGGTGGCCCCCTGCAGTGTACCTGTCCTAAGGCCCAGAAGCTGGGGATGTGACCTCACTTGGAGAAATGGTCTTGGCAGATTTGATTATCTGATGGGCCCTAAATCCAGCGACCAATGTCCTCATGAGAGGGAGGCAGAGAGCAGGAGACCCAGAGGGGAGAAGCCAGCAGAAGGTGGGGCAGTGGTCAGAGGGATGTGGCCACAAGCCCAGGGACATCTGCAACCCCAGAGGTCAGAAGAGGCAGGAGAGACCCGCCTCAGAGCCTCTGGAAGGAGCGGCCCTGCCCACACCTGGAATTCTGACTTCCAGCCTCCGGGATTGTGAGAGAAGACACTTCTATCCTCTTGAGACCCGATTTGCAGACTTTGTTATGGTCATCGTGGGAGACAACGCAGGCGCCTGTGCTTGAACATGGCGCCAGTTGGGAGAAATGAGATGTGTGTTTCACTGGACAGAGCAGATCTAGCCTTGACAGAGTAACTTCTCTGTCCCCCAAAGGAGGATGTCCCCACCTGTCCCTACTCCAGATCTCTGCACGGTGGCAGGAAAAGTCTGGGGAGGAGGAGGGTGACACCTGCTCTGTGGCCTCTGGCTGTGACCTCTGCTCACGGCATCAACCGTGACACGGCTGACATGGTCAAACCAAAGTGCCCGTCACCCTGGAGGGGCCACGGGAGGGCCTGTACCAGCCACCAGCTCCTGGCTCGGGCAGAGCTGGGTCCTGGAGAAGGGCAGAGGGTGGCAGAGGTGACTCTGGACCCATGTTGGGAACCCTTGACACATTGAGTATCTGAGAAATAAAAGGGAAATTCTCACCAGAGACAAGGCACCCGATAGGACGCAGGGTAGGAGGAGCTGACGTACCTGAGGACTGAGGTGGGGGGATCATCACGGCCTTGAAAAGAGGAAAAGGCACAGTGAGAACTGTGGGCAGGACGACCACCAGCCCAGACAGACAGACACCCAGGTGTACAGACACAGGGCCTCTGCCTGCCCATTGGGTACTTACGGCTTCGCCAGGCTGCAGGGCGGGAGCTGTAGGGAGAGCACAGGTGTCACCTGGAGGCCACAGAGCTGCCTCAGCCTGGGAGGGGGGCGTGGCCTAAGGGAGCCTCAGCTTGGGGAGCCCTCAGCCTGTGAGGGTGCCTCAGCCTTGGGGTGCATAGCCTGGGGGAGCCTCAGCTTAGGAAGGGTCCCCTCAGCCTAAACAGGTATTGAGGGGCCATCAGCCTGGGCAGGGGCCCTCTCAGCCTAGGCAGGTGTCTGTGCATCCCTCAGCCTGGGGGTCCACAAGCCTGCAGCGGGTCCCCGGATCCAGGCTCACTCTAGTCCCCACTCCTGTGCCTGTGGGTGCCCTCAGCCAGCCCCTTCACTTGGGATGGTGTCCCCTCATCGCCCTCAATCAAGCCACCCCCTCGCCAGCATCCTGCCATCTCCATGGAGCAGACAAGTCAGTCTGTAGAGTGTCTGCCACCATCACCCTTCACACTGAGATCCCATGACATCCACACAGAGCATTCCTAGGACATGACCACCCCCCATCCTGACACGAGAGCCATGTGACAACCCAGTCCCCTCCAGGCTGCCCAAGATGAGGCTTTGCCCCCAGACACCAGCATCTCGGCCCTGCCCCATGCTGTTCCCCTGGGACCCCTGGCAGGAAGCTACCTCTGTTTCTTCCATAGAAGACCTTGGGCAGCTTGCTGGCTCGCTTGAGGTAGAAGAATGCAGCCACGGAGAGGATGAGGCCCGAGCTGATGAGAAACGTCCCCAGGAAGAGGGAGGCGGCCACCTGAGGGCCCCCTGCGAGCAAGGTGAGGGCTGGCAGTGTGCACACCTGGGCCCCCGCAGGGCTGAGGGTCCTGCATGCAGAGGGGTGGGCCTCCCCTGCTCTCAGCTGACTACCCAGGCATCAGCTGGGGAGTTCTCAGGGGGTGGGCTGTCGAGAGGTCCAGTGTCCCAGCTCAAGCTCCCCATCCCCTCCTCATCACTTGGCACCCACTCAGGGCCCCACAACTCTGGCACAAGGATGTATCCTGGCTTGCCTCACTGCAGCCTGTTGACTGTCACCTGAGTGGCCTTCCCAGCACCAGGACACCAGCCATCTCCACCCCCACAGGATCAGGACAGCCGGCAGACTGATGCCAAGCAGGGGGACTCTGCATTCAGAAGCCTGTGGCAAACGCCCTTCTGACCCTGACATGTAGACAGGAGGCCAGCTACGGCCACACTGGAGCCTCAGGAGGGACGACTTCCAGGCCAACTGTCCTAGATTTGCCACAAAGGAAATGGGCTCAACACTAGACTACATGGGCCTTACCTACCACCCTCCGCTGCAGGGCCCAGCACCATATCACAAGAGGTGGGGGCTGTCTGTGCCCACCTGCCCGAACACTGCTGTTCAGCCCACAACAGCACAAGGCTACTTGCTTCCGGCTCTGCAACTCACAGGCAAGGCCTGAATCCTTGGTCCAGGTCAACATGTCTTCTGCTGAAGGACCAGGGTCTGGAGGATCATAACCCCCATCACGACCCCAACACCTCAGAAGAGGAGGTGGCCTCACTCATCCTCCTGAATCAACTGCAGGCCCAGGGCAAGTCCTGCTCCCTGACTGCAGTGGCCTCAGGTGGCCTGAGTACCATACCTCCATGGCCTGGCCACTCTGTGGCTCCGTAGGTGTCTCAGGTACAATGCAACGCCTGGCAGCAGGAGCAGGCTGGGACCCAGAGTGCCCAGGAGGTGGCTCCTGTGTCTGCCCTGAGGACCAGGTGGCGTAGTGGGCCCTTCTCTCTGCCTACAATGTCTGTAGTCTCCTCAGAGACCTACGTCCTAGAGGAGCTCCCAGGGACAGGGCTGCGGTTCCTCAGAATGTCCTCCCATCGTGGAATACCATACATCTTGGGCTCCCAGGGACTAGGGGGCTTGGGGGGCGGGGGTGGCTAGGAGCAAGGCAAAAGGTTAAGATGTGCAGCCTGTTCAGAGGCATGTGGGGGCCCATGCCAAGTGACCCCAGCCACACCCACCCTTTTGAATCAACCCCAGACCCTGACTTCAAAGCTGATAAAGCCTCCAGACCACGGGCTCTGCTCTGTGAGCAGGGCGGGGTCCTGTGCAGAGCTCTTGGCTGGGGTGGAGTCTGCCCTTGACTGTGGACATGGCCCTGCCGTGGCCAGCATGGGTGACTGGGTCTGCACTGGAAACGGCTCTGATGGTGCCCTGCATCTCCCCAGAACTGGTGTGGTGAGCTGAGAAACTTACCGACACTCTGCCGCCCAGGCATCCCTGTGCTCTTGTTCACAGGGAACTGTGCACCTCGGCCGGCGACTGTGGGGGAGCACAGCGGTCAGTGCTGGAGGACCCCCGGGGAGCCAGAGATGCAGCCCAAATGCAATTGTGGGCCAGAAATGAGAAAGGGAGGTGGCCATGGAGGCAGAGCAGCCCCTGCCCCACAGCTGCTCTGAGGGACATGAGGACTCAGGTAGGGGGCTCTGTGGGTGCCCACGGAGGGACAGTGGCCCAGGTTGGGGGACAACAACCCGGATCCCCGCGCTTTCCTCCAGAACTTGGAGGTGTGGCCCCCTGGTGAGAAGCAGGCAGGAGGATGGGGTGGGGAGGAGGGGTGGGAGGACATACGGCCTCTGCACTCGGAGCTGTTGTGGGTTCCGTTCCTGCACTGGATGCAGCTGACGCTCCCATCCTCGGCTGGGTGCCCATAGCAGCCTGTGCCGGGGGGGGGGGGGGGGGGGGGGGGGGGGGGGACAGGGGATGCAGCTTGAAGCACAGCCATGCCAGCTGGCTGCCTTCAGGGAGCGCTATGCTTTGCATTTGTAAAACTATGTTCATTCCAGAACACTAGTTCACCCATTCTGGAAGTTTGGATGGACTTCAGAAAAAGAAGCCCTTCCATAGGAACTACAGCCTGCCTTTTCTTGCCTGGGGATCCCCATAGGCCCCTTGCTGGACATCTCGGAAATGGCTTCTACAAAAATGGAATCTACAGGTATTAGGAATAGGCCTTCATTTCTTGTAAGAACCGGGCTTCTCTTCTGAAGCAGGTGGACTCTTTTTCCTTCACTTGGCATTTCTTGGAAGGGGATGACCTCAGGGAGGCGTCTCAAGGAGGCCCAAGAATGTGGGGTCCTGGGCACAGACCTGTTGCCAAGGCAGCAATACTCTCGAGGGCTCCCTTGGCCAGCCCTAAGGTAACTGAGCTCCTTCGCAAAACTGCCAGGGTGGCTAAGCATGCGGAAGCCCTGGGCTGTGTGTGCAGGGCAGGACTAGCGACCAGACTTAAAGAGCAAAGGTTGACTTTATGGAGCCTTACAGTGCCCTGGAAAATAGCCTGGGCCTGGCTCACTGGCTCAACACCTTTCCCAGATAGTGAGGAAGGTCACCACCCAGAAGGGCCAGGAACCTGGGCACATGGGGACTCGGGAAGAGAGGAATTCACCCCAACGTAAAGATACTGAAAGTGAGGTCTGGAGGTGGGTCCTTGGCTTGGCTTCTTGGATTCGAGAGGCCTTCAGAAGTCCCATCTGAGAGTCCTTGTGAAAAGGCCAGCAAAGCAGACTTCAAAAAAGCCTATGTGGTCAATCACTGCTTTGGCTAAACTTAAACAATCAGGCCCAATTTAAAGAGGACAGACTTATTTTTAAGACAATTTGTGTCACTGCTATTTTCTCTGGTAGAAAGGGGTAGCTGTAGAGAGAAGTGATCTTTCAGTAGCAGACTGGTCTGGCTGGTGGACAGCAGACTCCAGTCCTGCTCTTTGACCTTGAGGTCCAGCCCCCATAAACTAGACTGGATCCTAAAATCCCCATCTCCCCCAGAGTCTGGCTCTAACTCTCCAAACTAACGTTTCTGCCTCTCACCCACCTCCTAACTTGCAATCACCAAGAACCAAAACTGCCTTTTCCCAAAGCGCTGCAAAGAGATGTGACCTTCAGGGCAGTCAACTTAACAGGTCATGGCAACCTTCTGCCTAACTTGGAATCACCAAGAGCCAAAACTGCCTTTTCCCAAAGCACTGCAAACATATGTGACCTTCAGGGCAGTCAACTTAACAGGTCATGGCAACCTTCTGCCATGCCAGCCTCCTGGAAAGTTCTGGAGAGACTTGGGCTGTGTCAAGGGTTTCCATGGTGCCCCCACCTTCTGCCCACATGCAGAGGCCTCACTGTGGGTGGAGCCCACCCGCAACCCTCTTTCTGACGTGGTCTATGGGATGGCCTGTCCCAGGGCTGAGGGTCAGTGCAACACAGGAGCCAGTGCTTGCCTGGTTCCATCTACTTTCTTTCCCCTTTGCTGACTTCCTGTCCTACAACTTCTTACCCAAATCTCTCCATGGCTACCAACTTGGCTTTCAGTATGTGACACTATCTGAAGGTAAAGTTTCAAGTGGGGACTGAAAGAAACCAGAATATGTCACCACTTGGGCACAGCGACTGTTTTGAGGTGAGGCAATGAGAAAATAGCAGGTGCCAGAAGGCTGCTCTGACCTCCCTTTTCCTTCCCAGAAGCAGGAAACAAACCCCATGAGAGCTGCCCCTTTCCCCCAACCAGCAGGAGATGGGGCTCAGGGGCCTTGTCACCATCCCCCTCGATCCCCTTTAGCAGCCCGTGTCTCAGTCACTTGCCCACAATCACCTCCTCACTCAATCTAATGTGTTAGCACTGAGGTTCTGCCACTTGCTTGGGGCTTCATTTCCTCCTGAGTCACGTAAAATGTCACACATTTGTGTACTTTGCTGCTCCTATCTTATGTCAGCTTGTCTCAACCCAGCTGAAACTCGCTGTGGGGAACAGGCAGTCTTGCCTGCCCCTACCACCCAGGACGAGGCCACCGTGTCCTCCTGGGGTTCTGCCCCCAACTCCCAGGATGAGGCCCCATCAACCCTGCTGCCTCTGCCCACACCCCAGCCCCTCCTTCCCCAGGCCGCCTAGGCTGGTTCACACCAAAGCTCACCTGGGCCACACAGGCTAGTGCCTGGGCAGGTGGCATTGATGTCCCCCGCATCCACACAGCACTCAGGCTGCTGACCCTAGAGGGGAGACAGCGGTGAGTTTCCAGGGCCTGTGGCCAGGTGGCATGTGTGGGCCAGGCCCAGGGTGGTATCCACAAAGGGGCTCCCAGAGAGCTCACCCCTACACCCAGGGCCCAGCCTCTTGTAGTCAGCATCTGGGGACTGCACCTGCTGACCTACAGCAAGGTCAGGACACACGACCACACTGCACAGACCCTCCCTGGGACAGCACTTGCTGTCTGGCAAGCATTTGGAGACTGAATCAACAACTGAGGTGTCTGGCTGGGACCTGTTGGGGCACTCTTCCCCAGCACCCAGACTCCCAAGAGCAGGAAGGAGACTCCCTTGGGCTGACCCAGAGAGCCCGTCAGGGGTGCACTGGAGCAGCCTAGTGGGCAGGGATGGACCCCTCCTGCACTGCCCACTGCCCTCCCTGCCACCCTTTCTCAGGGGTCTCTTGGATCAGGGGCATAGTTGCCATCTCTCGCCTTGTGAGCTACAGGCAGGTGCAGGGCAGGCATTTCAACCATGAAGTTATTAGTCGCCACTTGCAGCTGGTGGCTTTGAAAATCAAAAGATGAGGCTGCTAAGAAAGAAAGCACATATGTTTCTGGACTGTGGTGACTCAGGAAGATAAACCCAGGCTCCCATGGCCTCCCTGGTGAGAGGCCTGGGTGGCTCTCATGATGTGTCTGCCCCTCACTCCCGACCAAACAGCTCACAGTCCTGGACGCCTCAGTGATGCTCCTGCAATTCTACAGACACCCCCTGGGGGGATTCAAGCTTGGCCCCCACAGAGGAAAAGTTTGCCCCAGGCAGCACTTCAGGGGCAAACACGCCGGCCAGGCCCACATGCAGGAGTGGGTGCTTCATTCACAGACCAGATGGTTAGAGGTGCCTCGAGAGGGCGTTCCGGGCAGCTCTGCTCCGTGTTTACCCAGGTTTCCCAAGACCCGGCCAGTGATTGGCAAGGAGCGCCTAAGGGTGGCCAAGAAATGGAGGGTGCCATGGGGGCCAGGAAAGCCTGAGAAGGAAGGCTCAGCTGTCCTGTCCCACCCAACCCAGCTGAGGCAGAGCTGATGGTAGGAAGGCCCACCATCCTGGAGACGGGCACCCAGATGTGTAGACGTGGCCAGGCACCTCCAGGAACCACTGCTCAGCACACCTGTGTCACTGACTTGGTAGTCATGACCTGGCCGAGTTGAGCCTGGAGCAGGCATCTCTGTCCATCCCACTAGCTCTGGCCAGTGCCAGTGGGCAGCTCTGTGGAGACTCCATTTCAGCTCCAAGAAGAGGTCCAGCTGGGCAGAGGGAAAGGAGAGTCTAACAGGCAGAGAGGAGCAGGGGCTCGGGGTAGGGCTGTGCATCAGCTGCCCACCCAGAGGCACCGGCCCCAACCCGACAGGGTATACAGTCAATGTCTCTGGGGCTGGGACAAGGGTGGCGCCCACAGGTGGAAGGGTGAGACCCCCTGGTGAAGGGCCCGCGTGCCACATGACAGGTGCTTACCGCAGTTCCCGAGGATCTGCTAGCAACTTCCACCAGGAGGCCAGCCAGGAGGACGGCACGCTGGAGCGCCATGTCCCGGAGTGCAGGGTCTGTGAGAGAGAGGGGTGCTGTGTGGCCGCAGGTGCCACCTGCCAGAGCAGGGCATGATTGAGGGAGGTGGGCTGGGGCAGAGGACACTTACCTGGCCCTCTTGGACGTGGGCCGCAGACATTCAGGCCCTCGCCACCCTCGATCAGCAGTCGGGGGATTGGTCGCTGGCTCCAGAGTGTCACAACCCTGGAGCCCAGCCTGCAAATCCAGGTGGACAGGTGAGGCCCCGCTGCTGGTCAAGCACAGCCAGACACATCTGGGCCTTGGCCTTGGGGCTCAGGGTCCGGCCAGACTTCCCTTCAGGAGCCCCCAGGGCTCGGCCCGCCCGGATCAGGATCCAACAGACTCCCTCCCTCCCTCTGGCTTTCCACCGCCCGTGCACTGTGGCTTCCCAGAAGGGAGGCTGAACCTGAGTGGAGGGGTCAGGGGAGCTGGCCATCCTACCCACCACTTCATCCTGTCCTTGTAAGACCCGCATTCAATTTCCAGCATTTTCACCCAGAGACAGAACTGTCGGGCGGTGGGTGTGCCTCTGAAGGGCCAGGCCGGTCAGAGGAAGACGAGCTGCCCACCTGCTGTCATCACAGAAGGATCGGGTGAGCAACCTCCAGCTGGGGCGACAGCACAGGGAGCCCTGGGCAAGAGCTTCTGGCGGGCGGTGGGTCCCGAGAGCAGACAGACGAAATAGGACCACCGGCCTCAAGTAAACTTCCTAACACGGAAACCACTCGAGATGAGACAGCACAGGTGATTTAGTGCTCACACTGCCACATCTCTAGAGTAACCAGGGAAACACACTAGCCTGCACGACCCTGGAAGTAAACGTTAGCTGGATTTTTAACCAATTTCTTCAAGGTGGGAACCACAATTATAATCTGTCCCAAACACACAAAAGTCACTTCTAAAAAGACTTTTCTCTTAATAAAAACAGCTGTTGGAGGAAGCTGAGCATGAGGAAGACGAGCTCAGGTTCAAGGGAGGGTGTATCTCAAAGAGCGCACTTGGGCCTGGGGGATGACGAGCGGCTCCGTCCACTGGCCCAGGGCCCAGGGGTCCCAGGCTGGGGTCTGTCCTGTTGCTCACTCTGTGATGGGTTCAGTCCAGGCTGATAGAGCAGATGGCGCTCCCCCAGTCCGGAGTCAAGTACCTCCGTTAAAAACACCAGCTCTTCCCTGGGGCATCGGCCCCTTGCTAGGATGTGAAGTCCCCTCGGTTGCAACTACTGGTGTCACACACACACTGCCACCTTTGATTCAGGAATCAGCTCAGCTGACACCTCCATCTGCTTCTTAACAGACACCACTGACAAGTGTGCACACCATGCCGTCCCTCCTCAGACCCCACCACTACACATGGACTGTGTCTCCTGCAATTTCAGGGGAAAGGACCACACCATCCACGCACCTTGGTTTGGGCTCCGGCCCATCAGCACAGCCATAGGGATCTTTGAATTCCTCTGTACTTTGCCCTCTCATGACTCAGTGGCATCCACCGTGAGGACACTTCCCCTGCCCACTGCCTGCCAATGGCCACATGGCTATTTCCGCATTTTGGCTAACACTGCCGAGGACATTCTTGGGCCCGTTCCTGCATGGTCACTTGCCTTCCTTCTTCTTGGGTCAACATCTGGAAGCACTGGGTCAAGGTAACTCTGGGAAGCTAACGCCCAGCTGTTCTCCGCCATGGCCCCACATGCAGCCCCCGAAGCTCTGAGCGCCTCACCTGTTCTAGCCACACCAGGTCGTGATCACACACTGGCAGGTAGGCGGCGGCTCTCTTCTGTTCCCATCTGTGTTTCTGCAACTAGATATGGTAAGCACCTCTGTCCTGCTTGTGGGCCACTCACACACCTTACATCTCTTGTGACGAGTCTATTCATATCTCTGGGCCAGTGTTCGGCTGAGTTGTTTTTCTATTATTATGTGCTAGCTCTTCACATGTCCTTTGCCAGGTATGTGTACTGCAGACATTTCTCCCATTCTGTGACTTGTCTTTTCATTTTCTTATGGGTCTCTTTAGAAGAACAAATGTTTCATTTTCATAAAATTAACTGCAACCATTTTTTCTCTAATGGTTCTTGCTTTTTTCCATCCTAAGCAGTTTTTCAGATTTCTTAGCATCGTCTACATAAATAATCATGTCCTATGCAAATAAATGCAGCTTTTCTTCTTTACCTTTCCTGGAGGCTTGTTTCAGGGCACAGCATTTGGTCTATGTTAGACAACATGCACTTGAAGGAATCTGTGTTTTGCTTCTGATGGGTGTGGCTCTATAAACAACACTCAGGTCAAGATTCCAGGAACACTGTTCAGACCCTCTATGTCTTCACTGATTTCTTTAGGTCTTTTGTTCTAACAACTGGTGAGAGAAAGTGTTAAAATTGCCTATGATTGTGGAATTGCTTATTATTTCCTTTATTGGGTGCATTTGTAACTGATGTTTTTCTGATGAAACAACCTCTTTATCACTAGAATTTTCCGGTTCTCTTTGGTAATACTCATCTTGAACCTACTTTACCTGATATTAGTACAGCCACTCCAGCCATCTTGTGCTATTTGTATACATACACATTTTGCATCCACTTATTTTCAGCTTGTGATTTTTATACTTAAAGTGAATCTCCCATAGACAGCATGTCATAGGATCTTGCTTATTACTCATTCTTATCATTTCTAACTTTTAACTGGAGAGTTTAGTCCACTAATAATTAATGTAAATATCACTGTGGTTAGACTTAGGTCTACCATTTTATTATTTGTTTTCTACTTGTTCCTTTGTCTTAATACATAAAAAATTATTTTTTTTAGAAGTTTTTGTTCACCGCCCAACTAAGCAGGAAGGAAGAGAGTTTCATACACCTGCTGCCCACACACAAGCAGAGCCTCTCCCACTATTAACATCCTGCCCCAGAGAAGTACTCTGACGAACCTACACGGGCACATCACTCTTGCCTCAAGTCCATGTTTACAACAGGATCACTTTTGATGTTGGGCTTTGGCAAGTGTATAATGACACTGTGGTTGGGTTTAAGGCTACTGTTTTATTTGTTTTCTGTTCATCTCTGCAGTGTTTTACTTCTCTTTCCTGCTTTCTTTTATATTATTTGAATTTTTTTTAAGTTCCCTTTCAATTTATCTTCTAGTTCTTTAGTTATGGTTCTCTGCATTATTTCATGGTTGTTGCTCTGACCCTGTTTCACAGCCTGCTTAGAACACTACAGCACGACGTGTCAAGGCAGAACCTGCAGATCTGTGAACCTTCATGTGATGGCCATCATGCACATTTCACTGCATGCATTACAAACTCAAGACACGTTCTGATTTTTTTCTTTAAATACATATTTCACCTTTTTCTGTGGAATTGTAAATCACTGGACCGCCAGGGAAGTCCCTAAATACATACTTTAAAGAAGACATTTCTCCAGCTATTTACTCTTTTTGATGCTCGTCACTTGCTCATAAAGATCTGAGTTTCACTCTCATAGCATTTACCTTCAGCCAGGAAAAACTTCCTTTAGCATTTCTGACAGTACACAGATGACGGCAACAAATTCTATCAGCTTTCCTTTTTCTGAAACTATCTGTATTTAGCACACGCTGCTGGGAGGTTGACTTTCTTCCAGCACTCCACTGGCCTTCTGATGATAAGTTCCTAGTGTTTGCAGCACTGTGTGTATATAATCTGTTGTTTTTCTCTGGCTGCTTTCAAGATTTTTAAAGTGAATCTTAAAGTGTTCAATAACTTAAAAATGATGTGCCCAAGTGTGGTTTTAGTCACATTCACCCGGTTTGAGACTCCTTGAGCTTCTTTAATCTATAAATCTATGTTTTTCACCGTATTGGGAGAGTCTGTTCTTCAAGCACTTCTCCTGCCCCACCGTGCCTCTTGCCTCCCCTCTGGGCCCCACAGTCACCGTGCATTTCACGCTTCTCGCTGCTCTGTGAGTCCCTAAGGCTCCTCTTGCTTTCCCCCATCACTTCCCCAGTTTGTCTCCAGACCAGATGATTTCTACTCATCTGTCTTTGAAGTCTATGACTACATCTTGTCCTTTCCAGTCTATTATGCCCATTCAGTGAATGTTTTCTTTCAAGTGTTATATTTTTCAATTCTAAAATTTCCATTTGGCTGGTTTTAAAAAACATTTTCTATCCCTCTGCTGAGATTTCCTATGTTTTCGTTCACTAGGAGTGTATTTTCCTTTACGTCACTGAACACAGTTACTTCGTTGGCTCTTAAGTGCTTGTCTAATCACCCAACACCTGAGTCATCACATGATGAGAGTCTGTTGATTGTATTTTCCCTTGAGGATGGTTCACAGCACCCCGGCTCTTTGCATGTGGAGTAACTTTGGATTGCAAAGACTCTGCAATCTGTTATGTTGCAGAGACTCTGAATTCAATTATACTTCTCTGAAGAGAGGAATGGTTTTGATTTGGTGGTAGTGGTTTAGTCGCTAAGTCATGTCTGACTCTTGCGACCCCATGGACTGTAGCCTGCCAGGCTCCTCTGTTCATGGGATTCTCCAGGCAAGAATACTGGAGTGGGTTGCCATTTCCTTCTCCAGGGAATCTTCCCAACCTAGGAATCAATCTTTACAGAGCTACAAGGGAAGCAAGGGAAGAGAGTTTATGGTTATGATTTAGCAGGGAATTAATTACATTAGAATCAAAAAGGAAACCGTCACCATCAATGTTGTGATAAGCGGTGGCCTCACTCTTGGTTGAGGTGGCTTCCTACCTGCCCTGTGCGTGCCTGGTTCAGGGCTTGGCCAGAAATCGGAGCAGAATTTATTTGCATAATTCCTTTTTCTGGGAATTCTCTTGCTCTGCAGCAGCTGCATCTGCCCAGCTCCTCCCCCTGTCCAACAGGAAGAGCGCGGTCTTTCCACCAGAGTTCTAACCACCCCACATCACCGCTGCAACTGCACTGCCCTCAAAGTTAAGACATACAAACAGGAAACACACTCTGGACCCACCACTTCCTCTAAGTTTAAGCTGCCCTCAGAACCTGCCTGCCGTGTCCCTTCTCAGGTGTCCTCAGGCAGCTGCTTCCCGTAGCTTGTTCTTGGTTGATAACTGCCACGTGAGGGAGAGTTGCTTTGTTGGAGATAATTCTTCTACCCTGGGAACAACTAACTGCACTGCATGGTTTTTTTATTCAAAAACCCAATGGTAGGCACAGAGGCTGTTTCCAATGTGCTGCCCCTGGTCAGCAGCAGGGCACATGGAGAGAACTGCCGGGCCACGATGGTCTTGTCTCCACTGGGCAAGAGTCAGCCCCAGGGAAACAAACGGGGGATGGACACCCAAACACTATTCTTGTTTAAGAGTGTGAATCCAGTTGCAAAAAGATTAATTTAAAATAGGAAGTTACACTGAACATTACTTTAGTAGCCCCTTTCATCTCTAAAACATTCCCGAAAGGATGATCAAATTAATCATCTGAAGTTTATTCTCCTATGGTATGTATTTTCACACCTTAGAGGTTTGTCACAGTCTCTTTCTGCTGCAGATCCTGGATCTCCAAGGGATGTGAACCGGCTCACTGTGTAACCACAGCAAGAACAGCAATCATACGGCACCTGCTGTGTGCCAAGCACCACTCTGAATTCTTCACTCATATTAACCCATTCAACCCTCCCAACAATGCCTACAATAGATTCCTTTTAAAGAGGGGAAAACGGGTTTGCACAAGACCACATGGCGAATACATGGCAGGGTGAGGACCAGCCAGGCCTGGTGCCAGAACATCTATCTACCCACCACACTGAACTGGGGTCCAAAGGTTTCTCCTGAAGCCAGTGGGCACTGCTTGTTTTATAGTGTTCAACTAATGCATTTAGCATGTCTGGCCAAGTATGGTGCATGTCTGGCCAAGTATGGTGCAGTTCTACAGAAATTCTCTCTTTTTTATTTTGGCTGCACAGAGAGACTTGTAGAATTTTAATTCCCTGACCAGGGATCGATCCCAGGCCCTTGGCAACGGGAGCACAGAGTCTTAGCCACTGGACTCAGAAATTCTCAATGTAGTAAACAAGGGCATCTGAGACTTTATTTTATTTTATTTTTTTCCCATCTTTCACAGCTTTAAAGTAATGTTCCCAATTACAGAGATAAACATGGCCTCTTAAAACTACATACTTTAGTTTCCAATCACAAAAAATGTGGATTTTCTTTTAACCTTCGCTGAATGAAATTCAGGTTCTCTGATGCCACCTTCTGGATCAAACCCGTGCTAATAAAGCAACAGAGGAACCCGAGGTTTCTATGAAACTAGAGCTTAGAAGTATCTTGGAATGCACCTTAGAACAGTTCATATTTCTATTTAGTGCTTCCCCCCGACCCCAACTGTAAAAATTCTTCCATAGATTTTCATCAAATTAACTACTGCCCAGAAAAGAAGTAGCTTTACACAGACAATGAAAGAGACGAGACCGTTTCCGCAGTGCCAGTTAACAAGCACCCTCTTGGTGCCGGAACTTGGTGCTGAGCCACATCAGCTTCGGCATAAGGCATCAGGGATGGCCACACAAGAAAGTGGCTCAGAGGAGGGCAAGGTGTGATTTGCTGAGCTAACTCTTGGCATCATAGCAGGATTTAAAAGGCTTGTTTCCAAACAGAAGCCCTGTAATATCTGAGGAAAGTTGCTGGCCTCATCTGGCAGGTTTCAACAGCTAATTCCGGGTCCACTCTCTTCTCCTTACAGGCCCATCGGCTGGCCAGTACTAGATTTTGCCATCACAGGTCACTTTTCCGATCTCCGGAAAGGGAGCCGCCATGTTAAAACCTAACCGAGGAAAACGGTCTACGGAAGCCCCCACGGCACAATCCAGATACTTAAAAATTAAGTATAATACACCCCTATTTTTAAAGAATATTAGCTAAAGATTAAAATTGTGTTGTAGAATTTTCTAGCACAAGAAGTTATACATGCCTCCAAGAGTACAAGAAGTAGAAGGTGGTCACTGGGACCCTCTCTATACAGATCTCACATTGTTTGTGAAGTACAGGATTAATTTTTAAGGTAGACCATAACAAATTAAACCTCTACAGGAATCCCTAAAAAAGTAACATAAAAGGGTAGAACTAAAAAGTCAGTAAAGATCACACAAAATTTTTTAAAACTTGGATTCACCAAATAAAAGGCAGGAAAGGAGGAATAGAGAAACAGATGGAAAAACAGAAATCAAACATGAAGGTGGTAGACTTAAACCCAAAGACTCTAATAATCGTACTAAATGTAAATGGACTAAATACTCCATCAAAAAGTAGAGATTAACACTACTAACCATTAGGGAAATGCAGCAAATATACTACTCCACAACCATGAGGATGGCTGCTATCAAAAAAACCCAGAAAAAATGAATGTGGAGAAATTTCCACCACCTTTTCTATTGCTGGGGAAAATGGTAAGTGGTGCAGCTGCTATAGAAAAGGGCAGGGCAGTTTCTCAAATAAAACACAGAATTACCATATGATCCAGCAATTACACTTGTGATTATACACTCAAAAGAATAAAAAACAGGGTCTTTAAGAGACGTTTGTACACTGGTGTCCACAGCAGCATTATTCACAATAGCCACACACACACACAAAGGGCAGAAACAACCCAGATATCCATCAATGAATGAAGGAACAAAATGTGGCCCATCCATACAATGGAATATTATTCAGCCTTATACAGGAGGAAATTCTGACACGCGCTATAACATGGGTGACAGAATAAAAAGTGAAATCAGCTAGTCACTAAAGGACAAATAATGTATGATTCCACTTATATGAGGTCACCAGGGTCATCAAATCCATAGAGACAGAAAGTAGGAGAGTGGGTGCCAGGGGCTGGGCAAGAGGGATGGGAGTTAGTGTTTAATGGGGATAGTTTCAGTTTGGGAAGATGGAAAGTTCTAGAGGCAGATGGTGGTAAGTGTTGTACAATATCATAAAAATTCTTAACATTTATAGGCTACAGACTTTAAAATGGTTAAAGTGGTAAATTTCATATTATGTCTATTTTACTGCAATAAAATATCTAGAAAAAATGAAAATATATAATACATATAAGGTGCCTCATAAATGATAGTTATTAAAGTTTTTTTTTAAATAGAGACTGTCAGATTGAATAAAAAAGCAAGACCAAATGATATGTGCTTTGTAAGAAACAAGTTTGACTCTTGTATAGATATATATAAATAATATGCATAATATACATATTTTAGAAAACATGAATTTTTGCCTAACTGAAAAAATTATGACAGTTTGATTCCACTTGTTTAAATTAGTATGAATAGATTGCTAGGTTTCTAATTTTAAAAATAGATATGCGACAAGTAACAAAGGTTTGCTGTACAGAGTGGGGAACTATTGTCAATATCTTGTAATAATCTACAATGGAAAATATAAAAAATAATATATGTGTTTATGTACAACTGAATCACACAAAAAAAGAATTATACATTTTGAAATTTGTAATGTTTATCTTTTTGCCAGTTTTTCTAAATGTCCTATGGACATCTAATAATGTATGAGATACAAAATTTTAAATATTTTATGTAGGATATAAGGTTAATATAAATTAATATACGTAGAAATCCATTATATTTAAATTATTAATGACATCATTCAAGATGCTCCTATTTTTATTTTTTCTGCACTTGATAAAATATTCTCAGAGAAATATTAATATGTCTTACCATGATTATATATTTTTTCTTTTCCCTTATATTTCTTCTGATTTTTACTTTATGTATCTTTGTTTCTTTGTTGTTACGTGTCAAATGGTTTTATGTCTATCTTCTTTGTGAACTGTACTTTTTATCATTAAAAATATTCATCTTTGTTTCATTTAAAAATAAATAAAATTTTAAAAGAAGCAAATATTTTAAAAAAGAAACAAGTTTGAAACATAAAGACACAGAATATTGAAAGCACAAGATGGAAAAGATAGCCTATACAATTACTTAGCATAAAATACTCATGCCAATATACTGATACCAGACAAAGCAGACTTCAAGAAGATAACTGTCTTAGAGAAGAGAGGGACCTTTCACAACAATAACACCATAAATTCATCTTCTTGTATTGATTTGTATGTTCTCAATAAAACCTTCCAAATACCTGAAATTGACAGAACTAAAAGGAAAAAGACAGATCCACAACAGTGATCAGAAACTTTAATATCCTTCTTTTAATAACTGATTGGATGAGTAGACAGAGAAAAAAAGGATGTATCAACTGACTCAACTTAACTCACAAGTATAGAATATGACACTCAACAAAAGTGTATTACACATTCTTAAGTGCAAACAAAATATTCACTAACAGACCATATGATAGACCATAAGACAAGTGTCGACAAATTCAAAGGGTAAAAATCATACAGAATATATTCTCTGACTAAATGTAATTATATTAGAAATCAATAACAAAAGATACTCAGAAAATCTCCAAATATTCATAAATGAAACAACAGACTTCTAAATTACTCATGGATCAAACACAAG